CGAAAAATGTTGAGAATGTCTCTACTGAACCTGCTTCAACAGAGGAGAAGAAAAACGAAATAAAAGACTTTTTCAACTGCAGGTATTTGTCAACATTGTTATATTTGTATATTTATCTATATGAGTTATTTTCTTATATATAGTTTGTTAAAATGATAAATGTGTTTTTTATTCAGATATGTATCAGCATCTGAAGGTTCTTGGAGAATTTTTAAGTTCTCCATACACGATCGTTCCGTAGCAGTTGAGAGAATTCAGTTTCATTTACCTGGAAAACATATTATTGTTTTCAAAGATGATGACACATATGAAGAGATTACAAGCCGGGTTATGATTGAAGATACCATGTTTTTGGGCTGGTTTGAATTAAACAAGGTAAACGCTTTTGCTCGGACACTCACTCTAGCTGAAATTCTTATTTGGTTTATCTGGAATAAAAAACAACGTAAGTTTAGTGATAGAAAAAGAGGATTCAGTATTGGTAGAATCAACTACGCCCCAAGAAAAATTGAACAAGCGTTTTATATGTGTGTCCTCTTGAATATTGTAAGAGGTTGTACATGTTACGAGGATATTAGAACGTTTAACAACGTTGAGTATTCGTCTTACAAAGAGGCATGCTTTGCTCGAGGTTTATTAGAAGACGACCAGGAATACATTGATGATATTGTGAGGACAAGTTTTTCGGACTCGACGTCATATATGCGTCAATGTTTTGTGATCATGCTCATGTCTGATAGTCTTTCGAAGCCAGAAGTTGTTTGGGAAAACGTTTGGGAATTATTATCTGAAGATATTGAGTATCGTCGAAGAAAGCTATTAAATAGGCCAGGTATTTTTACTCTCCAATATTACATTCTAATAATTTTTGTCATCAGTATACACAATATTAATCGGAGTTATTAATTTTTGTAGATTTATATTTGAGTGAAGAGGAGATAAAACAGCTAACTCTTCACGAGATTGAGAAGATTTTGAAGAGGAATGGTACTTCTTTAGAGGCATGGGAATCTATGCCAAAGACAATATCTGATTTTGCTCTCCAGGAGAATGTTTTGATTATGGACGAGCTTGGATATGAAAAAGAGCAGTTAAAAGCTGAACACGATCTTGATTTTTAAAAAATGACGGACGAGCAGAGAAAGATATATGATGAGGTTCTTAGTGCTGTGTTACAAAAGAGAGGAGGTGTGTTCTTTGTCTATGGGTTTGGTGGAACTGGGAAAACATTCTTGTGGAGATTGTTGTCTGCTGCTATTAGATACAGAGGAGAAATCTGTTTGAACGTTGCATCCAGTGGGATTGCTTCTTTGCTACTACCAGGGGGAAGGACAGCACATTCTAAATTTGGTATACCATTTAATCCAGATGAGTTTTCTACTTGCACACTAACTCACGGAACAGACCAAGCGAATTTGATTAAAGCAGCTTCTCTGATTATTTGGGACGAAGCCCCGATGATGAGCAAGCATTGTTTTGAATCGTTAGATAGGAGTATGGCTGACATTGTTGGGAACAATGACAATTTACCTTTTGGCGGTAAAGTTGTTGTCTTAGAGGGAGATTTTAGACAGGTTTTACCTGTAATTCATGGAGCTGGAAGAGCTGAAATTGTTTTGGCATCTTTAAATTCTTCTTATCTTTGGAAGCAAGTCAAAGTGTTGAAGCTGACAAAAAATATGAGGTTGATGTCTAACGATTTATCTCCTGAAGAAGCTAGAGATTTGGAAGAGTTTTCAAAGTGGATATTAGATATTGGAGATGGAAATATAGGCGACAACAATGATGGCGAGGCTCTAATTGATATTCCTGAAGAGTTTCTTATTCTTGATGCAGAAGATCCTATTGAGTCTATAAGCC